CCTTGCCCAAACCCCTTGCTCACCCCCCTTGCCCATCCCTCTTGTTCATCCCCCTTGCCCACTCCCCTTGCCCACCCCCCTTGCCCATTTCATCCCCCTTGCCCATCCCTCTTGTTCATCCCCTTATCCATCCCCCTGCTCACCCTCCATAAAAAGATCATAGTTCACTGCATCTCTGTAACTTATTTATCACCAGGAAATCTGCCTTTAATCACTGAGAAAGCAGAGAGCTCATTGGGTTCCCTCGACAGTGGCTTTGATTCCCAGTCGATGGAGGTTGACGAGGACGGCAGGATAGAGGATGGGATGATTGGGGATAAGTGTGGTAAAAGATTATCCCCAAATGCCCCAACATCATCACCTGAGCTGCTGCAGGCTGTGAAGAAGTGTAGAGAAAACACAGAAATCTCAGAGAAGGTATTAGGAAGTACAATATATACACAAGTAAACGGGAGGAGAATATAAACTGTAAACAAACACATAATTGATATTTGCTGTGTTAGTGTAATGTACTCAGGTGAATAAGATGCTTGTGATGTTACTCTGAGTGTATATCCGTACCGGGCAAGCTTGAAAAATATGCCTGGCCACGGTGGGAATCGAACCTACTACCTTTGGAATACTAGCCCGGTGTGGAAATACACTCAGAGTAACATCACAAGCATCTTATTCACCTGAGTACATTACACCAACACAGCACATATCATGATTACTAGATTACATTGATATCGAGGGAACTAGACTCAGTTCCGAAATATCACATACTCGAACCGAGTCTGACCGCGTAGCTCAGTTGGCAGAGCATTGGGCTAGCATTCCAAAGGTCGTAGGTTCAATTCCCACCGTGGCCAGGCATATTTTTCAAGCCTACCCGGTGTGGAAATACACTCAGAGTAACATCACAAGCATCAAACACATAATTATCGCATTTAATTCCTTGCTCATTAATGAATTTTTAATGAGTATGAGAATATTAATTGTAGTTTTATTTATAGTTGGCTGTGACGAATGAACAACTGAAGACCGGAATTGCTCAAATATTTAACGTGTGCTTTGATGTAAGTGTATATTAAATGTGGTACATATTGGGCGCTAATATCGTTATATATAAGTACATAATATAACTATTTTATATTGTTAGTTTTTAAAACTGTTCTGGATAAAACATTTTAGGAAACGAAAATACTATCGTCTACTGCTCAATATCTACCAGAGACTTCTGAAGAATTATGTAAGAATTCCTCTGCAGGTACAGTATGCACATAAAAACACACAAGTTGTTACAGGTCTGCAAACAAGTTGTTACAAATCTGTTCACAAGCTGTTGACAAGTTTGTTAACACTGCTCGTTCCCAGTTGTTGTAACAAGTTTGGAAAAAGCTGTTAAGAACTCGTAACAATCTTGATGGCATTATCAGACTTCTTGCAAGGTTGTTGTAACAAGTTTGATACAGTCATGATATAAGAAGAATGTTACAAGGTTGTAACAATATTGTTACATATCATGACTGCATCGGACTTTGAGGACTTGTTGGAACAACCTTGCAACAAGTCTGATGATATCTGGAAAACGTGCTCATTTATCGATAAATATATAATGTATAAAAATTGCAGCTTTTGCCGATATGGAAGTGTTCATAAACGATGCATTAATGGAGAAAATCGCTGTTGATAAATCACAAGAGAAGGAAAATTCTTCATCTTGCAAAAATAAAGAAAACGAAATGTTGGATTTTGGCGCGGAACAGTTTCTTTATTTCATGGAGTCGTATGGCAGAGTTAACAAGATCGAAAAGGAATATCATAAGGTACAATAGACTGAGTGTACTATTTATTACATTCTTGTCCCAATTAACTCAATAGTCAATAGCCTCATTTGTACGTCTGCTGTGCCAAAACAGGCAATCATGGATACAAGGCCATTGGGGCAAAAGTGCAACAAACAGTAAAGTGTACTATTATTGGGTTACTTGATCAACTACTGTATTGATTCATTCTTTTCAGCGCCGTTTAGATGAAGTCTGGAGTGGGATGTTAAGACAGGCAAAGACGCAAGCATTAAGATTTTCTTCACTTGTACTTCAAGGAACATTCTCTGAGAGGTCTGTCAATGGACCATTTGCATTATAGACTAAATTTTGATCTAAACAAGTCTAGACAAAAATTTCATCACAGCTTGAAAGAGCATCACAAAATTAGTAATATTCCAAAGTTTTGTTGCGAAATGTTGTAAAATGCGGATCATATAGCCTTGCGAAGTTTGCCGTTTTTCAGTTATTTTCTATTACAAACGGGAAATTGACAGCCCCAAAGGGTATTGGGCTGTCAATTTCCCCCGCGTATAAATGCAAAATGACTGAAAAACGGCAAACTTCGCAAGGCTATATATTATCCGCATTTTACAACATTTCTCAACGAAACTTTGGAATATTACTAATTTTGTGATGCTCTTTCAAGCTGTGATGAAATTTTTGTCTAGACTTGTTTCGATCAAAATTTAGTCTATAATGCAAATGGTCCATTGGTCTACCATTTTGTAAATGAAAACAGCAACGAATTAGCTAGACTAGTAAAACTGTTTCTCGTTTTCATATGAATGTAAAACCATAAATCAAGTCCTGTTTAATTCCTATATAGGTCAGTCCTCAGACCCAGTCCATTGCTACCGTATTTACTTGAAGATAAAACCAAGCGAGCTCCAGGATTTCTCGATGATCTGATTCAAATGTTGTCTGACGATGCCGTTGCCATGGAAACAGTATTTGCACCCGTATTGTTGGGTCTTGCAGAGCGAGTTAAGAATTGCTCCATGGCGGACCCGAGTTATAAATACCCTCTAGAGGCGATGGCAGAACTTTGTGAAATACGACTAGGATCAGCTTCGAATAGACCTATATGTAACCTGGTATGGAAATATTAACTTGTTGCAGGGTGTTCACGGGCCTTGAAAATCCTGGAAAAGTGCTTGAATTGGAAAAAAATTCCAGGACTGGAAAGTTCTTGAATTAAGATGTTGATTAAAATTACTGAATAAAGTGGATTATTTACGGCAAATCCGTGCCATTTTCAAAGATTTTTCCGAGATGTAGGTCCTTGAATTTACTGAAAAAAGGCCGTGAAAATCCTGGAAAAGTCCTTGAATTTCACCTTCACCAAAGGGTGGAAACCCTGTTATTGGTAAACCACATTCTGAGTCATATGTGACACTAGTTTTCACGTGGAAAAGTGGCTTTCTCTGACCTTTAAGGCCCATTTACACTTGCAATAGACAAATCCCATTATAGACTAATTTTAAAACTAGGCAAGGAGATGCACATAGATCACCACAGCTAGAAAGAGCTACAATTGCAATTGCAAAGTTTGGTTGCGAAATGTTGTAAAATGTGGAGAATATAGCCTTGCAAAGTTCGCAAATTTTGTATACTTTTGTATTTCGCGTGGAAATTGCTACCACATTTGGGCCGAAAATGGTAGCAATTTCCGCACGCAATACAAAAGTATACAAAATTTGCGAACTTTGCAAGGCTATATTTTCCGCATTTTACAACATTTCGCAACCAAACTTTGCGATTTTACTCATTTTAGCATGCTCTTTCCGGGAATATACTTTTTTGCCAAGATCAAAAAATTAGTCTATAATGGGAATTGTCTATTTGTGCAGCGATTTTAGGTGCGATGTTTTTCTTTTGGTGGATGTGAACGAGTGAATGAGTTATAAATGTTCAGGTGAGGGTACATGTACTCCAGTGAACTCTAAGGGAACTGGAACGATAACTTGGCGGCCATCTTTGAAGCCAAATTGAAGGCCGCCATGTACGTATGGAGTGGAAAATACGCCACCAAAAAGATGTCTGTTTTCGACCACTAAATAGCTGTATTTCAACAAGGAAAAAAGCTAAAAACTTTCAACAATACCTGAAATTTAATACAAAACATGTTTCCAGAACGTAGAGCAGTTATAAAGTTCTTTTTTCAGGAGTCAAAGTGCGAAGTTTTTTTCGGCACGTTCAAAAACTTGTGTAATATTTTGAATATCAAGCTGTTACCCAGGAAGTTTTTGCTGTTAGTGGATGTAAAATACTTAGAACTATCCAGGAAACCAGGTTTGAATCTTTAAAGTTGAAGCCTTTTGATAAAAAAGTACTTTTTCTTGCTGATTTTCGCTCAAAAACAAACTTTTGACTGAATTTCCCGCTCCTCGAAACTCTCCCCAGTCCTTTTGAAAGTTAATTTATTGCTGGCCGTGCTCGCGAGAAGCGCCATTTTGGCTTCAGGCAAGTATGGGCATGTTTATCTGCAGTTAGCGTTCCAGTGTTATTACAGTTCACTGATGTACTCCGAACATTCATAGCTCATCTGCTCGTTTACATGCATCAGAAGGAGAAAACATTGCAAGTGTAAGCGGGCTCCAAGACAAGTCCCCGCCAGAGTTCCTGCGTCTTATAGCATCGGGAGAGAACGTATTCCACAATAATTACATGATCTCTATTGTTTCTTGTCTTTAAGATGGTTAAACTGCCTTCATGGCTGCCCAAACCTTTGTCTGAAGCGTGTGGTAACGAACTGGAGAGACTATCGTTACTTGGACCCTTCTTCAGTCTCTCTGTTTTTGCTGAGGACTCGGTAAGTTCACTCAAAAAATGAAAGCTCTCGGCCAACTTGGAAATATTGTTGCGATAAGTTTTGAAAATTGCGGACTGTCCTCGAAATGTTTGCCATGCTCTCTTGTTGAGGAAACAAAATTTATTTCCTGAGTGATTTTTGTCATGGAAACAATAATTTATTTTTGTCAATCTTTGGAAAATGTGGCTAGGAAACAAAGTTTCATGGTTTGCCCACCTTCGGAAAATATGGCTATAGGAAGAATGTTTCCTGGTTTGCCCACCTTCAGAAAATATGGATAGGAAATAATGTTCCTGGTTCGCTCACCTTCAGAAAATATGGCTAGGAAACAATGTTTCCTGGTTTGTTCAGCTTCAGAAAACATGGCTAGGAAACACTGTTTCCTGGTTTGCTTACCTTCAGAAAACATGGCTAGGAAACGATGTTTCCTGGTTTGTCCACCTTCAGAAAATATGGCTAGGAAATAATGTTTCCTGGTTTGCCCACCTTCAGAAAATATATGGTTAGGAAACAATGTTTCCTGGTTTGTTCAGCTTCAGAAAACATAGCTAGGAAACGATGCTTGGGCAACAATCTTTTTAATCTATTCACGAAGTATTCTTTGCTTTTGTGCATCAACTTATATTGTACACTGTGTTTCCTTGCAGGAAGCGGTTGCTGAGAAGTATTTTTCTGGCACGAATATGAAAAAAGATGCAGTGATTTTGAGCACAAATCAACTCAGACAGTCTTTGCGTATTGTTAGGGTGGGTATTGATTGTATTTTCCAACTGTGCCAATATTCCAATGCTATTCTAAGTCAAAATCGGCAAGAAATAAAGCGTTCATATATGCATGGAAAATCATATCCCACACTTGACTAAGATCCCACCTGGCCTGGCTCGTTTTCAATATGAACACAAATTCAATTTTATGTGCGTTAACAATAGATGATTCGACTAAGTCGATAGACTAAGATAGATTAGTCTAAAGCTGGAATCACGTATCAAAAGGCATGTAGATTTCAATCAGTTTCTTGGTTTGCTCGGTTCATATGTTGTTTTTTTCTTAACTTTCAGAATGAACTGTTCAAGATAATTCACAGTTTATTGGTGTCAATGGAAAGCAGAGAAAAGACTCTCGAATATTTAGCTGAAGTTCTATCAAGGAATCGTAAACGCTCTCATATTCAGGTAGACTTATTAAATTGAACTGTTGAACATTCGAACACAAAAAGCAGGCAATGCCATGGAAAATTACAGCAGTGATTGTAAAATTGAAAGCAGTATGTATTTCTTTCCGTACAGAGTGATGATACAAAACATTCCTCGAATGGGTTCATGACAAATTTCCTGTCCGTCTTGCAAACGCTATGCCACAAAGTCACTTTAGATAAGGTCGGTTTGAGTAAGTCGCCTCGGTTACATGTGAGAAGAGTGCTTTCAGATTCTACCAAACACCGTCGGTGACGTGGGTTTCTTTCTGTGGTAACACTGGGCAAATTGGAGATGGCCCTTTCTGGACTTCTAAGGGAAGCAACTTAGAACTGATTGAGTTATCCCGAATAAAAAAGCTAGTTTAAAAGTCTAGATTCTTCCTGTAGTAACAATGGATCAATAAGGAGTGATTCTTTGTTGAACAGTTTGGTTCAGACAGCGCTATCGTGTATAATATAAAGTTAGTTTAGTTTAGTTTAGTTTACTTCGACGGAAACTTTTCATTGAATACCAAGTTATTTTTTTGCTAGATCAATCATTACTATCTGCACCATCCCAAGAGTCGTATTGATATTTCTCAAGACACAAAGATGAAAGGAACTTCGGAGGAGATTAAGAAATGGAAGAATGAGCTGAGTAAGTCTTATCTCCAGCTCCATAATATATCTGACTGCATCTAACCTCCCCCCCCCCCGGTGCGTCTCATTTCTAGTGGTTTGAATCCTTGTGAAAAGTCATTAAAATTTGTGGCTTCGTTCCTTTTCAGATTCAAACATGGAGTGGAAGCCAGTGAAATTTCCAACGGAATGTTACTTCATGTGTTTTCAGTGTCATCACCTGTCCATCATGCCATGCTTGCAGCAATACTCGAGGACATGGAGGACACTTAGGGACATGACTAGGATGGTAGAGGAACTCGAGGGACGCGAGGGAGAATGGAAGGATACACCAATGGCAGCAAGGAATAAATTATTGCTAAAGCGATGGAAGGAAAAAATAAAGGTAACCCAAACGTTAATGCACAGTTGTATGTCGGTATTAGGTTAGCATAATAGTTCAGGGGGCGTTTGTTCGAAGGCCGGATATATTTCTCAACCATTGTAAAATTTCTTGAAAACTATGGATTGATTATGTTTTTTTCTACATGCAGAAACTGATGGACTCGAAAGTTTGTTCAGATGTAGTGTTATTAGATCCAGACTTTCTACACAACTGTCTTAAATACTATAGCTCGACAGCAGAATGGATTGTTATGCTGATGAGAAATTTTAAACAAAGGTATTATAACTTGAACATATATAACATGGATATATATAGCTTTCGCACTTGATAGGTTTATCAGATATTATTAATCTGTTCTTCCTAGAGTTCCAGTATAAGGATCATCGCTTATTGTTTCAGTCTTAATTACTATACTATATTTCACAACTAACTACATGTAACTTTATTTATACTGGATAGTTCTATCTGTTCTAAACTGTTCTTCCTAGAGGTCCAGTAACGTGCTATCCCTTATTGATCCAGTGTTACTATATAGGTGCAACCTGAACTAAACTACATTTATTGATACTGGATGGTTCTAAGGTCGTGTTCTTCTAAAGGTCCAGCAATGGTCATCCCTATATTTGTCCAGTGTTGCTACTATACTTCCAAGAGGAAACCTAGAGTCTAACTGGAAACACTCTCTTCTCAAATACGACTGATAATTCGACAACTGTATATCGTAGGGATAGAACCACCAGCATTTCCATTCACCATTTTATACTATTGTGTTTCTCCGCAGTCCAGTTGAGCTGCCTTTAGGCGCTGAAGTTCCGCAATTATTTGCTGCTTTGCCGGAATACTATATAGAAGACATCGCAGATTTTCTTACTTTTATAAACGTGTAAGTATGACGTTGTTTTAGATATTCGGCCCATGCAAGTGACTTCATTGACGTCTTTTTCAGTCAAACGCAAGATCTTATCAATTAGTCAACATCTACTGTTTATTTCAGCCATGGTACAGAAAATCTGCAAGTTGCGTCAATGAAGAATATTGTTATGTTAATGATCTTGGTGATATGTAGTCCTTCGTATTTGTCTAATCCTTACCTTACTGCTAAATTAATAGAGGTTCGTCTCTTTTAAATGGCTTTAAAAACGACCCATCTTATGAGTTCGTTGGCGAAGTAATTTTAAAAATAAACCTTGTCTAAGCCGAGAAAATACAAGCTAAAGTTTATATGTAAATATATTAATATGATTTTTTATCACATATAAAACCACCAACACGGTAAAGATTTCCTTTGTCTTTTTTCCTTTGTCTTTGAGTTTTTGAAGTTTCATATATATCTATTGCGTGTGAAGCATTATCTATCCTAATCGCCTAACCCTAATCGTGACCTAATGTCGTTCATTTGTTTCGTTTAGGTAATATTCATAGGTATTTTGGTCAATCAACCAAAGGAATGTCCTTGGGTAGAAACGTTAAAATACGATCCGATATGCCGGGACAAACTTTCTCCTGCGTTGATGAGATTTTATACAGGTAAACTAACTAACTAAATAAAGACATTGCATTATATAAACTATACTGACTTTATTGATCTTGGATAGATCTATCAGTACCAAACTATTATCCCTAGAGCTCTAGTAATGTCCTTCCTAGCCTGTCCAGTCGTATTGCTGGAGGAAACTGAAGTATACGTGGTGAAAATGTGCGGTGTCAATGATAAATTGACAATATTTAACTATTATTTTGTGTTTCTAAAACTATGTAAACTACAAAATAAACAAAGTAATTTTAAGAGAAACGCCAAAAACACTTTTCATCACAATAAAGCGACATTGAAAATAAATGCCTCTGAATAAATTTCTAGATGTGGAATCCACTGGTTCTTCAAGCGAGTTTTATGACAAGTTCAGTATTCGTCACCATATCTCAGTGATAGTAAAAGAACTATGGAAAGACTTGTATCATAAGCTCGCTATACTTGAACACAGCAGATCAAACGAGTTTGTACGCTTCGTGAATATGTTAATTAACGATACAACTTTCTTACTGGACGAGTCTTTGAACTGCCTCAAGTCAATCAATGAAATACAACAGTTGATGAAGAATAGACCCGAATGGGAAGCTTTGACCAGGGTGAGTGTTATCTTGGACGTACAGAGGCGCAGGGCACATTGGCTTTCGTTATGTCTTTCGTTATGTCTTTCGTTATGTTTGCAACTCAATTTGTGTGTGTTTGTTGTTTGCTTGTTTGTTGTGTGTTTGTTTGTTTGTTTGTTTGTTTGTTTGTTTGTTTGTTTGTTTGTTTGTTTGTTTGTTTGTTTGTTTGTTTGTTTGTTTGTTTGTTTGTTTGTTTGTTTGTTTGTTTGTATAATTTAACAGACGGTGGAGCTGAAAAATGCATGAATACATAACTTTTTATCGACAAGATATCTCAAAATGTTGTGCAAGGTTGTTTATAAATCGTGAATCTGTAAGGTCTTTAGGAGCACAAAGCCAAAAAGGTAGATTGAAATATGATTTACTAAAACTCGCTGGCGGTGGTGTGAATTCTACCGGCTATATACTATATAGTGTTGATAATGTAATGACTTTTTTCGTACTATGCTGTCTGTTATCACAGGAAGCTCGTACCACACATCAGCGTCAACTGGCCAGCAATGAAAGGCAATGCAAATCTTACTTAACGTTCGCCAATGAAACTGTGGACATGATGCATTATTTAACGAAGGAGGCAAGAGAACCTTTCTTGAAAGCGGTAAGGAGCTTATTTCCGACGGCGTGCTATTAGTCATATCCTAATTCCAACCATAACTTTTATTCTAATCCTATCCCTGTGAGCACCTTATATATCTGGAGTGAGAATTCGAGTCCAAGCCAAGATGGAGCTGTTGGACGTCAGTTTCAGTCCCTACAGCATGTCAACAAGATGTGTTCGCCCTAGTTGTTTCTAGTTGTTGACAAAAGTCTGGAACAAGTCGTGGTCATCTTGTTACAAGCTAGGTTGATGAGGCCAACAGACTCGCAACAAGTTGCTCCAACAAGTCTGATATTGTCTGCACGTAACAAGTTGTTAACAAGTTTATGACAACAAGCTCGTAGCAACTTGTTACGAACAACCTGTATTAGTCTTGTTGGAACAACTTGGAGCAAGTCTGTTACCGTCGTCAACCTTGTAACAACGTGATAACAGCTTGTTCCAGATTTACCACAACAACCACGGAAACGCAAGAACTCCCTTTACAAATGCCAGAACTTGGTTTTCAAATGCCAGAACTACCTTTTCAAACGCCAGAACTCCGTTTTCAAACGCCAGAACTTCCTTTACAAATGCCAGAACTCCCTTTGGAAATGCCAGAACCCCCTTTTGAAATGCCAGAACTTGGTTTTCAAATGGCAGAAGTACTTTTTCAAACGCCAGAACTCTGTTTTCAAACGCCAGAACTCCCTTTATAATGGGAGACCTTGGTTTTCAAATGCCAGAAGCACCTTCTCAAACGCAAGAACTCCCTTTACAAATGCCAGAACTCCTTTTACAAATGCCAGAACTCCTTTTACAAATGGCACAACTTGGTTTTCAAATGCCACAACTATACCTTTTTAAACACCAGAACTCCCTTTACGAATGCCAGAACTCCCTTTACAAATACCAGTACTCCCAGAACTTGGTTTTCAAACGCCAGAATTCTGTTTTCAAAGTGGGAACAGATAATACGAACACATTCTGTAAAATAAGAGCAACAAAATTTTCATTTACAATGCATTTTGATTTTTTTATTCTGTTTCTTCAGGAACTTCGTGATCGACTTGCCGCCATGCTCAACTACAATCTCACCCAACTATCTGGTTCAAAATGTCGAAATTTAAAAGTAAATATCACCATCAAATTTTACCTATTTCATTTTATAAACATGACTATAATACTAGTTTCTTCTCTAGGTCGAGAATCCTGAGAAATATAACTTTGATCCAAAGACATTGCTGAATCGTATAACAGATATATATCTTCATTTGGATTCTTCAGAATTTGTAGAGGCTTTAGCGGCTGACGAGGTATTTGTGTCTTATTCACCTAAAGTTCCCCCTTGAGATCCAGCGAGATACATCACTTATTTGGCCAGGGTTACTGCAGGAGAAAACTAGACTGACTAACTTTACTTTTACTGGTAGCTCCATCGCTTCTAAAAGTAAGTTTCATCCCGTATTTGTCCATGTTACTACGGAACATTATTTATGCTGGAAAGCTCGATCACTTTTTCTCTAAATTACTCTCGATCCCAGCAAAGCCCATGTCTTACAAGCTTCTAACAGAAATATATTGTTTTAGCGTTCGTACAAGAAAGAATTGTTCGTCGATGCCTGCAAATATTTGAGGAAAGCAAACCTAAAGACAGAGGTATGGTTCCCCACTGTTTTCTTAAATTTATTTATTTACAAATTATTAAATTAACGGCAGTTTTTGTTAGCTTCAATGTATTTATTATTATTTTGCAATATATGTTTTATAGACGGAATTAACAAATTTCCAAATCATGTCAGAGAATGTGGAAAAGAAAAAAAATGAAAATGCTCAAAAGGAGGAAGACTTTGGGGACGCGCCGGAGGAATTCAAAGGTGGGTGGTATGTACCAGTGGAGGGTAATCGCCGAATCGCGTGAATCCAATGTTGACGGGACAAGAAATATGGCAACACACACTTAAATGTAAAAAGGAGATATTTCATTTTTGGTCGTCTAAAAAGTTGATATTTGATAGCAGATATTTCTGCCCTTTCACATATTTGACGCCTGTCACCATATATTTTGTCCCTCCAAACGATGAATGCACTGTGATCTCTTTTGGGGAAAGGCTAGATGTATGAGCTTCCCTTATTCGTCCAGTGTTACTATAACAATATTGTCAACTGCAAACATTCTTCGACTCTTTACTGATTAGATCCTCTTATGGATACACTAATGGTTGAGCCCGTGCTTCTTCCGACCAGCGGTAAAATCATGGACAGAGCAGTGATCACACGTCATCTACTAAACTCATCAAACGACCCATTTAACAGAAGTCCCTTATCTATGGATCAGTTAGTGCCAGGTAAATTAGATATAAGGTTTCCTATATGTCCTATTGTCCTTTGCCTATTATTCATTGTTCTATTGTTCTTTTCTCATTGTTCCATTGTTCTTTTCCTATTGTTCTATTGATCTTTTCCTATTGTTCTTTTCCTATTGTTCTATTGTTCTTTTAATATTGTTCTATTGATCTTTTCCTATTGTTCTTTCCTATTGTTCTTTTCCTATTGTTCTATTGATATTTTCCTATTGTTCTTCCCTATTGTTCTTTTCCTATTGTTCTATTGTTATTTTCCTATTGTTCTTTCCTATTGTTCTTTTCCTATGGTTCTTTTCTATTGTTCTATTGATATTTTCCTGTTGTTCTTTCCTATTGTTCTTTTCCTATTGTTCTTTTCCTATTGTTCTATTGTTCTTTTCCTATTGTTCTATTGATATTTTCCTAATGTTCTTTTCCTATTGTTCTTTTCCTATTGTCCTATTGTTTTTGTTTAGCAACGGACTTGAAGGAGCGAATTCAAAAATGGATAGAAACGAAATCTCGTTCAAAAGCTGATGGGAATTAAATGAAGTGTAAATTTAATTAATATATAGAAGTCTAGGTTTGTTTTTGTAGCGTTTAATAATACTCGCTAATACATGCGTCACCTGTATAATTTGTTCTTTTATCAATGGATATCACTAGTAACGGTTCTTTCATAAAACGTTTCGAATCTAAGCTGTGTATTTTTAATATAACATGTCAGCTTGCATGTGTATTTATTTTGTTTGCATCGAGATTGTTGTAAACACCCATCGTATGAAATGTGAATAAATGATAAATTGTAACTTCTCGTCATTCCAGTTCTTGATGTTGTTACTGTTGTTGTTCTGCTTGTTCATGTCCAAGTTGTTGTTTCTTTTGTTTTTGATCATATACTATAACATGTTAATTTGCGCAATATAAATATTATCTTGGTGGTATTGTTGTTGGTGGTGGTTGTGGTGGAGATAGTGATGTTGATTTAAAATTCTGCAAAGGCTTTTAAATATCCACAGGTCTTAGACCCTTCCAAGGTTAACGACGCCATAATGAAACACAATAGTGCATGGGGTGCAAACACAATGGAATTCCCTTTTGGGAAATTTGCAGGGGGTGCAAATACAATGGTGAAAACAATAGATTCAAGATGGCGTCCTTAACCTTAGAAGGGCTTATTATTCAACGTCTATTATTAGCGTACATTTTAACAGCAACTTTTATTAAACCATTATGAGAAATAACATCGTTTTCCATTTCAAATATTTCATTTATATACAGCTATAAATCTTTGAAGAGCTAGGCAAAATTGGTTGGTATAATTTATGTATTACACAATATAATATCACCTGAATGTTAACATTTCTAATTCTTGCAACTTATTTTGAAATTAAACACTACGAATATATAGATAGACAGTGACCAATTTATTTGATAAAACAACTTTTTATATAAAAACATTACAAAAATGTTTTCAAATACATATTCATTTGTCTGTGAACATTTCATTAGCAAGGTTTTCAGAACAGGAAAAATCCTGATGAACCGTTATTTGAACTGGATGGGGACTTTCCACCACCACCGAAACTAAAACTAAATCCACCAGAGTTGTCTTCTTGTCCCCGATTTGGCGACGATGACGATCCGAAGAGAGAAAATCCGCCGCCATCAAAGGATTCATTGTCTTGATTGTTATTTTGACCAAACATATTACCACCTGGCGAAGTTGATGATAGGAAGTCATTACCAGCATCAGCTGTGGAAGCACCAAAGGAAAATGCTGTCTGAGCAGTAGAGGCCCCTGAAATGAGAGGTACAATAGTCATTCGTTTTTCCATATTGTTTTGTTCTTTTTGTATTGTTCTCTTCCTGTTGTTCTATTGTTCTCTTCCTATTGTTCTATTTTTTCCCTATTGTTCTATTGTTCTTTCCCTATTGTTCTATTGTTCTTTCCCTATTGTTCTCTCCCTATTATTCTACTGTTCTCTCCCTATTGTTCTCTCCTTATTGTTCTTTGCCCCTTGGTCTATATGTTATTCAAACAAACAAACCTTGTGGTGAATTAGAGGAAAGAAAGTTTGTTCCACCTCCTACATTGGGAGATGTCGAACCAAACGAGAAACCCTTTCCAGGACTTGAGGTTGCTAGAGTAATTGAGAAATAGTAACTTATGATTATTTGAACTGTCAGGACTTAAAGATACAAAAATATATAGTTCTGTCAGAGAGAATTTTGATATCCACCTGAATTTGACGGCGATGATTGCATATTAAATATACTTCTATTCCGGGCAGGAGACTGTTCAGAATTTGCCTGCGGTAAGATATATATAATATTGGAATATTAGGGTCATAGGATTGACTGAGGAATGAACAAGTTACTTGCAAAATTACTCAAAAATTACTGTATACATTCATTACTGCACCTGGCCGAATAGATTCTGATCTTGTCTCTCTTGTTGTTCAAAAGGGTGGAAGAAATTGAGAGAGATATCATGTTGCTGATGTTGGTCATTCAGTGGTGCTTCGTAACTCATCCCATCAGCTTCATTCTGTTGATCGTCGTCTTCTCGCTGTTGCTGATTAACCTAAGATGAGGGGTATTAGGAATTCATCAGGGAACACGAAAAAGTTGTTAGATAATGGAATATCGTCTTTGGAAGCGCATGCGTGTCAAACAAGACGTATGTTTGTACGAGATAACTCGCGTGTCATTATCACCAAAAACTGTTATTGGCAAAGGCTTTGCTTGCAATCATGGTACATCAATGAAATCTGGATCAGACCTTTACTCCCTATCAAACAACTAGTACTGGTCACTGAGAACTGGTAGGTGTCACAGTTTCATTAAGCACCATCGTGCAAAAGATGGTCATCAACCGACAGTTTTCCAAGTCGGAAAATAAGGTTAATTTCGTTTCACTATAAATAGTGATCTTAGTGATTTAATTTAATTCGCTTTCTTCTATAAATGCCAACAGTTCTCAGATTGATCGTCACCTACTTCCTCTTAAACCTTCCACCAATATATACTTCACCTGATTATTGTTGCCGTACATGGAACGCCCAGTGTACGTAAATCCTGCACCAGGTGATTGTGTGGCCTGTCTCATGTACTGTATGTGTTTATTGAAGTCTAGTGGACTTCTTGCAGCTGATAGGTTCACTGGTGTGCCTGCTTTTGATTGATTAACTGGTGTCACGTGGCCTGTACTTGTTGGCGTGGTAGGTGCATGGGTGGTGACGGCAGTAGTTTCTTGTGAAGATTGCTGAGATTGTTCCATCGGTGAATCTGAAGGTCTGCCTGAAGTAATGAGAATTTGAGATACGTGAGCAGGCAGAAGGATATGTAAATTAACCGAATAGCTCTATCAGTTCTAAATTGTTCTACAATGAACCCAGTAAGGCCCATCTGTTGGCTAGTGTTACTTTAAGAACTAGATGTACCTTGCTCTTTGTTTTGTTCATTGGAAGATGGTGTCTTTGGTGCAGCTACTAATTGATGAACAGTACTTGTCTGACTGATGCGGGGTGCTTGTTCTCTTGCGTCTTGCTGATCTCGTAAATCTCCACCATGATTTTGCTGATGTGAGGCTTGGTTCCTTGCTGACCGTCCTAACATTGCGGTAGCTTGAGTAAAAACACGCGAAGTAGTAACCGTCTCTTGTCTGAGGTTCAAAGTTTGGTGGTCATTCGAACTTGGGTCTGCTTGTAATGATCACTTCATTGCTCTGTTGAATTTCATTCACTCTTGCTGGTTCGGTCAGGACTGCAATATTGTGTATGAATTCAGTGAAAACACTTACTAATTAACTATCTTAATTTCTACTGGATAACTCTATCCGTTCTAAACAGTCCCCCATATAGCGGGTCCTGTAAGGGATTGTTGCTCCAGTATTGTTACAGAAGGAAACTGAGCTACCTTGGACCTACCCTGTACATTTTCATTGCTTTGAATTGTTACACTACTCTCATTTTCTGCCAAATCCATTTGTCTTTGAGTTTCCATCTCCAATTTATTCTTCACATCTTTCAATTCTTGTACTTTTTTCCTTGCTTTAGTGGCTGTGCTTTCTGTATCCAAGAACAGGCCAGCTCTTTTGGGGATATGGTTAAAAAAGTCAAACTGCATAGAATAATTTTGGTCAGAATGCAGAAGGTGCGTGTGGTGCTGGTGGCTCATGTGGTTGTTGTTGCATATGTGCCTTTTACCTTTAATTAAGGCCCATTTCCACTCGAGAAAAATTTCCACGAACAGAAAATTTTCCGAAAATATTGTTAAAAGTTGAAAATTTTTTCAACTTCAAATTTTTTTCCGACGGAAAATTTGTGTCGGCCAATCACATTTTACAAAATTTTCTTTCTCCGGAAAATTTTCCTGAGTGGAAATGGACCTTTATGACCGGGTTCAATTCCTATAATACGCTGTCATCTGATTAAGTTATTTTTTAGTCTAGTGTAAACATCAAGGATACATCTTGATTATGCTTTCTGTTGCTGTCTCTGGATTTCCTTGTAGATATTCTGTTTGAAATAAAGAGATTGAACGCTATTGAGTATTGTGCACTGTCGGGATATATGAGAATGATGTTATATCGTATGAAAAGAGTACGACTGCAAAGAAATATATGGGTTCTTATAGTATATTATATTCTTACATAGGTGCAACCTCTAAATAATGGGAAAAGAGAAGGACAAAAAAGAAATTCTTGCCTTGCATATGAGTTTTTTCAACCTCCATTTCTATGATCTGTGATTGGACCCTCGTAATCTGCTCAGATACCTCGCGAACTGAAATAATGTACGTCATAATAAATCTATATTACAGTCAGTTCTTTACTACATTCAGAACAAACAACACAAGTGATTCCAGTTACCAGAAGCTTCAGTGTTCATAGCTGTCTCTTTAACCTTCGACAATTCTTTCGCCAGTGGGATGTCCTCGTATTTCCTGGCATATCTTGACCAAATTTTCTCGTACTTCTCCACATCTTCTTGGTGCTGTAATCTACAGTAGGATTGACCATTCTACCATCTTTATTCAGTAAATTACCATAGCTAATATGGTGTTCAGGGCCGTTCGATATTTCATTGTGACAGAGAAAGAGAGATTTATAAGAGAGATTCCGTTTGACTTTCATGCCTACCGCTACTGCCACCATCAACCAATCAGATGTGTTTAAACCACGCGATTAACCAATCAAATGCGTATTAAGGTAGCGGTAGGGTAGTCAAATCTTATCCTCTCTATCGACCTGGAGCCGGTTGTCCAAAAGCTGGTTAGCACATTCCTAAGTGGTTAGCATAGACTCCTAACAGCTTGTTTATAAACTTAGAAATACTTTTCCAGAGACGTTTTCTGGATCAGTAAAAGTTTTATTCTCTAACGTTATAAAACAAACTGACCTGCAGAAATGTACAAACCAAAGCAGTGGATTAAATTTGTAACCCAGGGTTAGCGTCATCGTGCTTTAATAAACCAGCGCCTGAATACTTACAGTTGTGTTTGTCGTTCCAAGCTGATCATCTCAAATTTCTTCCGTAAGGCTTCTTCATGTTCATCCAACACAGCAGATGTCTTCTTTAAACTATTTAATGAGAACCTTAGGATATAGTACTTCTACTACTTAAAAATCTGGCTACGTAGCTTGTCAGTACATCATGGTAAAATTGGTTCTGTTACTTTTGATTAGAATTATGCGGGTTGTGTATTTTATCCCTGGTAGAAATGTTACTGAATAAGATATCCTATGTAATGTAATGTAATGTAATGTAATGTAATGTAATGTAAGATTGTAATAGGATCGTATATTAACTTTCAGGATCTTCAGAAAAATTTCCAACAAGGATGATATACAATTACCCTTCACATATCTCTCTGTTCTGCTTAAACTTGTTATGTAGTTGCTTGGCTTCAACGTCAAGGTTTTTCGTGGATTCTTCTAACTGTTCAGTCCATGCGATAGTTTCTTCAATCTGTTTCTGGAATTCTACGGAATAAAGGTCAGAGTGAAAACGTGCGCCGTCTAAATTGTTCTTTCTTCAGATCTGGCAAAGCAATCTCCTTGGAGAAACCCCACAGTGTTTGGCCAAACTTGAAATACTCTTCTTCTCCATGCATGGGCTCATAATACACACCTGTTGATCTTTGTCGTTCGGTGTCGATGAGTTTCACCATCTGCAAGTTCTCAGCCTCTGTACGAATACAAACATACCATGTCTCAATGTTATCGTTGCACAATCGTGGTTCAAAACTAGTGTTTAATATATGGGCACCGCTATTTTACCCATTGACACTCCGCGAACGCAGGGCCGTATAGCCACGGGTCCAGTCTGTCTGGTTTCAACCGAACTATTTTCCGGAGCGCCGAAAAAATGTGTTGAGCTGCTTTGCTCTTTGCGTCACTATTATACCAAGAGTTAACTTTAATAGACGTTATTAGGGATATTTAAAAGTATTATTATTCTTTTCTGCTTTATTCCGCACGTCAGAGCGAAGGAAAAACGCAGATAGTATGCCTCCGGTGGAGGAGGCTGGCGCATTATATGCATCCTATAGCTACCAACCAAATATGGTGATTTAAATGCACTACGACATGCAACTCTACCTGCAGTTTGAAGCAGTTTTTCAAGATCTGCCGATCCTTCTCCAAGCGATTCTCTTCCTGGCGAAGCTGCATCTGAATAAACTTCAGGGTTTTCCATAATCTCTTGTGGTGTTCAGTTGTTAACTTTCTATAGTAACTACAGCGTTCCTTAAAAAAAAATTAAATTGTCAACCACTCAGCCATAGATTTTTCTAGCTCTATTTCAATCAATTTCTACTTACAGGAAGTAAAATGTTGCATTGAATTTTTCTTTAAATACTTGCTCGTATGAAACTATATGCTAGAAGTCGTTGATTATAGTGTCAAAATTTGTCAACAACTCGGCTAATGGCCTCGTTTTTCAACATATCCTTTGCCTTTCACGAAAAAAACACTTAGAAACTTGCTTAAAATGTTTAAAAAGCATGTAAAAGCATTACTTTCACCTTACCTTTCTTATTTTCGTATTTTCTTTTGTTAAAAATATTTCTTTTGTTTTATTTTTTTACTAAGATTAATAAAAAAATTATATTTTTATAAATTGGATTTTATTTTCCCGCCACTTTTCAAATGCTTAGCAGCATCTAGGAATTAGCAGGGGTAATTTTGGTTGGATTACCAACTGCACGTCCATAATTTTATTTGAAACGAATGAAAAAATGTTGTATTTTGCACGTCTTTACTTTTATAAACAATTATTACACATTATTTTGAGGAAATTATTGGTTTCTGTTTCTAAATATGCTTGAGATATGTTTAATTTAATTAAAAATGAAAATAATTTTTCTGTTTTGTTCATATTTTTGCAGTTTTCAGAATTGTATGTCTATCCCTAAATGAGTATGAATTACCCTATGCGTCCCACTGTCTTTAAAGTTCAAAGTGACAACAAAGTGCAAAAGTCGATCGAGCGATCAGAAAAATCCAAAATTTCCTCTGTTTTCTTCAAAAGACTCTTTGCTTGCTTCGAACAGAAGGTATAGTTGTAAATTAGATATTTATTTCAAAAGAACGACCGATTTGTGGCTAATTTTAGCAAAGTTGGACAGCCTTGCATGCAAATTATTATGTAACTTCATGTGTTGAATCTGTTTAAAATTTTATATGTTTGTTGATGTAAATTATAAATGTACACTGTGGACAAGGATTCTGTCCGAGAGAGATCTAAGGAGTGGTAATCTGCATGAGAAATGCCCTTTCTTGGAGATCTGTAGCTGTAAACTGTTCGCAAGTACTTCCTTGTGATACCTGTGTACATGTCATGCAGCACGTCAGGGAATATTTGTCTTAATACACACCTTTTATACTATATATGCAGTACTCTGCAGATGATTATGTGCAAAAGTACAGCAAAACGTACTGTACAAATCTAGATGCTTGTGTTTGGTTATATTCCTTTTAAACCCTGGCAACTTTTGACTGCCAATGTCCACAACTCTTATCAACTTTGAGCTTATTCAAGTTTTGATGAGAGTTTTGGTATGGTTTTGGTTTGCATGATAATATATCCAGTCAACTGTCATGCAACACTTGTTCTTATATGACTGGAGCATTAGAGTTAAAGCCCTCACATAAGCTTTAACTATTCCTCTTTGCATTATCAAAGTGTGAAGTGTCATGATTAATTGCATAGCCTGATATATAATTTTTTGTATGCATATTAAAATCTATGTTTGTCTTTCTACATGTAACTTAGTTTGTACACATCCATAGATGATCACTTTGTGCTTAACTAGATGGCTATGATAACCAGGATCCATGCAAGACAGATTTTTGATAGCCGTGGCAATCCCACAGTAGAAGTTGATCTCACCACAAGCAAGGGTAAGGGTAAAGGAGGGATATGCATGTCACTTATCAAGTATCCAAAACCAGATCTTCCATGACAAAATTCAGTTGAAGGGGAGGGGGACTAACAAAGCAAATTCAAGAAACAAGCTTCCTAGAGCATACATCAATTAAGCCTACCCAATACAGGTGTATGTCGTGTTGGCTATAGAGCCTCATTTTCGTGATTGAGATGTTAGGCTTTAAATTAATTAATCTTACATACATGAAAACGAGGCTCTATAGCCAAGATGGCTGCTTTAGGGAAGGGTGTATTATCACCTGTCACAGTGTAACTTAAAAATGCAGGAAATTGTCTTTGAGAAACCATAGAAATTGCATTGATCATGTTTTGAACAGGGTATGCCAGTCAACTTGATAATCAAGGACCCCCCTCCCCCTCCCTGTAGGTTTGCACCAGGTGTGTTACTGCACCCTGTTTACACTTGCCCATGCTCCTATCCTATCACCATGCTGTTGCCATTCTACTATAATACTGATCGCTTTATTAAACATTGACCGCAGGTTTGTTTCGAGCTGCTGTGCCATCAGGTGCTTCCACCGGTATTTACGAAGCTTTGGAACTGAGAGATAAAGACCCAGCTGCATATTTAGGAAAAGGTACATCACTCACTATATGTACAGTCCACTCTAGTTTCTATTAAACAGCACCCCCCTCCCTCTGAAGGAATGTACAATAACCATCACCCTTTGACTGAAATCTCTATGATCTATGATCATCTAGATAAGCTTGAGGCTTTTGGAAAAATTGTCCTTTTTATTAATTAAAATATTGTTTAAATCAGATGATCATTTCGCCCCGCCCTCCCGTCTCATCCTGAATAATTTATTATAAATTGATATGAGCAGATTTCAGGGTGTGGTCTGCACCCCTATCCAATCAAAAGGCAGGGGGTTTCACACTCCCTCCTCTGCAATCTAGGCGTGGCTAGCTACTCAGCCTTCTTGCAATCAAGGCTCAAATATCTACTTGTCCTTCCAATCTCACCCTCACCCCCCCCCAAAAAAAAAATCTCACATCACCACCACTCCCACATTTCCACTACTCAAGAAACATAGTGGTAGTTAAACGAATGACACCCCCACTCAACGATATTCTGATATGAATATACACTGTCTCTAACCAGGTGTACAGAAGGCTGTCTCCAATGTGAATACAGTTATTGCACCAGCTTTACTGGGAAAGGTGAGATAATGAAATTTTAGATCAGGGTTAGAAGACAAAATTGATGCTTATCAAATGTGGCTACCGAGATAGAAAATTGTAACTCGCATCAACAAATAAGAAAACGTAAACAATAGTCTGTGATTGACCAATTGTGCCACAATCGGAAATCACCAATTGTTCATGTCTACCAGTTGTTTGCCACAGCAAAAAGAGCTTCAAATCAAAGCTATCTTCATTATATTCTTTTTTTCAGGGTTTTGATGTCACTAATCAAGAAGCCATCGATAAATTTATGATCGAACTGGATGGCACTGACAATAAAGGTAAAATTCCTCATCGAGTACAATAAATGGACTTACGGTATTAATAATTTTGATAATTGCTTGATATTAAATCATCTCTCTTCCGTAGGCAAGCTCGGAGCAAATGCTATTTTGGGTGTGTCTCTTGCTGTATGCAAGGCTGGCGCTGCACATAAGGTAATTTAATTAACGCAGCTTTGAAAATAACTTTAATTTACAAACTTCTATTTAAAGACGAAGAATTACGGGAACCACTGAGTATTTAATGAAATACAACGGTAATGCCGAAAATGAAATCGGTTTACCAGGGTTTTTTCTTGTATTTCATTCTTGAATGTTGCACCATATGATCAATTAGGGACGTGCAATTACTGGACTATAGGGAGACTGATTGATTCATGCAGTTTAAAAACGTTGGTAAATTAGAGTTAATTATAATGTCCTCCTGTAGAGACACGAAGGACCAATAAGACCGATTACACTTACTTGATCATTTGCGACGAATTCCATTACAGGATATGCCGCTGTATCGTCATGTTGCTGATTTGGCTGGAAATTTGAAGGTCGTCCTTCCTGTTCCGGTACGTAAGTTAACACGCATTGCGGTTTTACATTTGATAATCATCTATAACTGTCTTATATATAATTGCATATTTCAAGGCATTCAATGTGATCAATGGAGGAAGTCATGCTGGAAATAAACTGGCCATGCAAGAATTCATGATTCTACCAACAGGTGCGAAATATTGCTCGAATGGTCTATGCCAACGAAGGTAGTGATCATAACACCAGAAAGCTGCAGATGGAGAGCGATTCAACTGAAAAATACCAATACCAAAATACCTGAAAATACAACTTCGACGTTTCGAGCGAAGGCCCTTCGTTGAAGCACACAACATTGAACAGGGAGTAGGGGGGTTATGTTACCATCGATCCACGAATATTCTAGACCGCGAGCAGTCCCTCGTAAGAAAGGAGGGACCCGCCGACAACACATCAAGAAACGAAATACGTACGCCCACTTTTCGCTCTTGTCAAGTTGGCTCCGTCTTTGCATAAACATTACTTGTATCCAGTAGGGACCGTTAATGTCGTGTTTATTTATAAAATCAACATTCAGTCTAGAAATTATTTATAGCATAATTACTACGTATCAGATTTGATTGACAGGCGTATCGATTTCGACCAATGGGAATTTTGCGTTGTGTGGGCAACGCGTATTTCGTTTCTTGATGTGTTGTCGGCAGTCCCTTCTTTCCTTTCGCAAGCCCGGAAATCTAAACCCGCGGAAAGGTGGGACCGCTCGCAGTCTACGGATTTTGTCACTGATTGTAGGTGCTGAAAGTTTTACTGAAGCGATGAAAATTGGATGTGAAACATACCACACGTTGAAGAATGTTATCAAGAAAAAATATGGTTTAGATGGTAAGGAACCGAAACACTCTATAGTCAGGATGCAGATGAATAAAATACCGAATTAATGCGGCATAAATGAATATGTTTGAAAAACGTTTTCTAGCCACTGCTGTTGGGGATGAAGGTGGATTCGCTCCTAACTTCCAAGATAATAAAGAAGGTAACTGAAAAAGTTGATTTGTGCGGTTTGATTAATTGGCTGTAGACTCCTAGTCTGGGATATTGTAGATGGGAAGATAGACAGAAGAATGGTTGATTGGTTGGTATGAGGGAGGACCAAGAAGGGAAGAAAGGATACGTGGAAGGAAGGAGGAAAGGGAGGGGGGGAGGAAGGAATGAAAGAAGGAACCGGAGGATAGAAAGGTTGGAAGGAAGGGAGGATGGAGAAAGGATGCATGGATGGGGGGCGGGGGGTGGATGGGTGAAAACACGAAATGGAGGGGGGAAAGAGAGGGGGAAGGAAGAGTTGGATGGAAGATAGAAGATAAATGGATGGATGGATATAACGAACAGTAGTTAACAGTATATTTTGTTAACAGTAATTTATACTTAATACTTGATAGGTCTTGAATTGCTCAAAGAAGCCATTGCAAAAGCTGGGTATACTGATAAAGTTGAAATTGGAATGGACGTCGCTGCATCAGGCATGTCATAGAATTTTCTCTATATTAGATAAGATTTCAGTTGTTCCGCCCAACTTGTTGCGTTAAAAATTAAAAAATGATATTGTGTTGATATGTGATTATTGGTCTATTCTGTTCAGAATTTTACAAAGATGGCAAGTATGATTTGGACTTCAAGAACAAAGATTCTGATCCGAGCAAATGGGTAAGCAATGTGGAAATCCATCTTGGAATTCGTGGAGTGGTGACAATTCCAAAACCTTAAATAATGGATAGAATTCTCATCTCTGATCTATTTCATTTCAGTACCACAGGGCTCACTTCTGGGGCAGTTACTTACTAATTTTTCTCAATAAATGGTCACAATCCTAAATTTACGATCTTCGTGTGGAGTACTACAGGGTTATGTTTTAGGACCATTAGTTTTCTTACTTACCACTTTTATGTGATCTACCTTATTCTACTAAACATTTATCAATCAATGGTCGCAATTCTGGATCAAGATATATTTCTTGTGGAGTACCACAGGGGTCAGTTCCTGGACCCATACCTTTCTTTCTTACGTAGTACAATTAGGTTCTGTTTTAAGTTTGAGTTTCAGTATTGCAGGGTGCAAGGATCAATATGGGCATCCTCTGTCTTATATAAATATTGGTCTTCGTTTTTAGATAACCGGTGATCAACTCAGTGCCCTCTATCAAGAGTTTATTAACGAATATCCAGGTATATGTCATGTGTATTAAAGTGTAAATACCGAATCCTGGCA